CCTGAGGCCGCGGGGCGGGGCCGGAGCCCGGGGCAGGCGGGGCCTGAGGCTTTCGGTCGGGACCTGAGGCCGCGGGGCGGGGCCGGAGTCCGGGGCAGGCGGGGCCTGAGGCTGCGGGGCGGGGCCTGAGGCTGCGGGGCGGGGCCGGAGCCTGGGTCAGGCGGGGCCGGAGGCTTTGGGGCGGGACCTGAGGCCGCGGGGTGGGCGCGGAGCCTGAAGTGGGCGGTACCGGAGCGTGGGGCAGGTGGGACCTGAAGCTGCAGGGTGGGGCTGTTTCTTCGAGTGGGCGGAGCCTACAGTGGCGGGGCGGGGCTGGAGCCTGGGACAGGCAGGACCTAAGGCTGCGGGGCGGGGGCCTGAGGCTTCGTGTCAGAGGCGGAACGTGGGGCAGGCGGGACTTGTGGCTGCCGGACGGAGCCTCAGCCTTGGGCAGGCAGGGTCTGTGGCCGCGGGGTGGGGCCGAACCGCGGAGGGTGGAGCCTATGGCTGTGGGGCGGGACCGCAGCCCGGGATGGGTGGGGCCACGGGTGTGGGTGGGGCCTAACGCGTGGCCGTGTCGTGAGGCACCCGGCCACACCCACAACGCACATTTCCTACAGGATGGGGACGTGCAGCGCCACCTTTACCTCCAGGACGTGCTCTTGCAGGTGGCCGATGTGCCTGAGAAGCCCAGGTGAGCGGCTGGGCAGCACCGGCCAGTGCCACTCCTGTGCCGCCCTGCCCCGTGCCTCCTCCCTGGGGCAGGGCTGCCGGCTCCTCCACATGCGGCCGCCCCACCGAGGCACTGCTCCCGTCCAGCTTTGGCGTGCCCGGCTTCACCACCCAGCCTGTTTGTGAAACTTTATTCATAAAAAGAGGGCTTGGAATTATAAAAGATGCATGGGGGCTTTATGGGACGTCTCAAAGGGAAACTGGGCAGAAAGTCCAGCTTGGTTCCTCGCACCGGTGGAGGGGCCCCTGAGCAGGTCTCCTTGGCAGGGTGCCTGCGTTCACCTGCCAGGTGGCCGGCTGCTGCCAAGTGTTCGATGCCCTGGGCGACTACGAGCACCACTACCACACGCTGCACGGAAACGTTTGCTCCTTTTGCAAACGGGCCTTCCCTTCCGGACACCTGCTGGATGCCCACATCCTGGAGTGGCACGATTCACTCTTCCAGATCCTGTCCGAGAGGCAGGACATGGTAGGTGACGTCTGCACAGCTGCCGAGGCCGCCCCCAGTGTGATAGGCTCGGAGCGCTGCCCCCAGCTCTTGGGTGCACAGGCAAGGCCAGGGACACCTTCCAGCCCTTGGCAGCCCAGCTATGGAGGCATGGCAGTGGGGGAGGGCTAGGGGTCAGAGGGAGGTGATGCTGTCTCCATTTCAGTACCAGTGCCTGGTAGAAGGCTGCACAGAGAAGTTCAAGACCAGCAGAGACCGGAAGGATCACATGGTGAGGATGCACCTGTACCCCGTGGACTTCCGTTTTGATAAGCCAAAGAAAAGCAGAAGGTAGGGAGCCGCCAGGCTCTGCACTGCCTGCCTTTGATTTTAGGGAAAGGTTTCCAACCAGCCAAATGCACAGATTGTCAGACTTAGACGCCACGGTTAAGCACCTGTGTGTCCCTCAGGGGTGTTCACCGGCAGGTACCTGAAACCCTGGGAGCACACAGGCCACCCTGCCGAAGGGAGGCTGGAGAGGAGCCTTGGCTGCCTGGCTTCGTGCCCGAGGAGGCAGGAGAGGGAGTGTGGCAATGACCGGGCACAGCTCCTCCACACTCACACCCCCCAGGGCTATGCCTGTACCTCCTGCAGCCCACATCACTCAGCCTCGGCTTTCTCTTTGTCGTAGGTGTGCACATGTGAGTTTGACAGCAAAGCCGTTTACTAACACGTTACCACAGAGGCAGCGCACTCTCAGGAAATAATCTCCAGGAACAATCCTTTTTTAGAGACAGGGTCTCGCTCTGACACCCAGGCTGGAGTGCAGTGTTGTGATCTAGGTTCACTGCAACTTCCATCTCCCAGGTTCAAGCGATTCTCCCACTTCAGCCTCCTAAAGGGCTAGGACTAGCAATACGCATCACCACACTCGGGAAATTTTTCTGTTTTGTAGAGGCAGCGTCTTGCTGTGTTGCCCAGTCTGGTCTTGAGCTCCTGGGCTCAAGCAATCCACCTGCCTCAGCCGCCCAAAGTGCTGGGATTACCATGTCCAGACAGAACAATTCTTAAGTTGTGTTATATTTTTTCTTTTTTCAACTGATTATTTTAGGTGAACCTTTCAGACATTTTCTCAAGTAGTACTTTGCTGTTTAAAATAAAATAATTGGGAGAACCGACTGCAACATGGGAGGCTTTACAAAGACTTTGTACAAAGTAATCGTCTCCTTTCTGATGGATGATTTTAAGGAGAAAAACTCTGCAATGCTGGATTGAGATACGTGTGTTACCAAAGTGACTATAGTCTCCGGTTAACTTAGCAAATTTCTCACACCCATAAAGAGACCTGTGGCACCATTGGCACCAAAAAATACTATTTTCAAAAAAAGTATGATTGTTACAGTTAAGTTTATAAAATGCAGGCTTTATTATATAAAATGACCTTGGTTTAATCATTCTCCTTTTCCCGGTAGCCCGAAAACCACGCTATAAAATTAGACTATGCCAAAATAGTAAGAAAATGTGCTATTTACAGGGAAAAGCATAGTTTCTTTTTTGCAAGTTCATTTCTGGGGAGCACTGGGGCTGTAGGAGCCACTCAGGGCTGCTGCTCACTGCTGTGTCCCTGCAGCCCAGCCTCACCAGGGGCCGGCACCCAAGCCTCAGCGGACGTCCAGGGGAACAGCGGAGAGCGGTCAGAAGGGGACGCCATGGAAATCTGCACTGAGCCTGCGGTGGCCTCCCCTGCACCGGTGGGTGAGAGGCGGACCTACAGTCATAGGTCAGTGCTGGACCTCTTTCTGCAGCACGTTCGTTCTAAATGCGTGCCAGTGCTGAGCACTCTGGGTTGCCTCCTGGGCTGCTGTTTTTCTCATACTGAATTCAAAAAGATAGCGCTGGGTAAGAAAATCTGCTTCTGCCAGAGGTGAAAGTCCCAAGATTTCCATTCCTGTGAATAACTCCGTTTCTCTTGCATACTGTTTCTGAGCCACTGAAGCACAGGAGTGCCAAGCCCCACCCTCTTTTCCTCGTCGTCTGAGTGGGATGGCAAGATTTCACCTGCAGTTGCTTCAGTTACAACCCAGCATCTGTCTTTCTAGCATTAACTGTACTTTTATTGGGTTAAAGTTGATTGCAAATTAATTTGGGGAAAATGTTGAACAATTGGGGAAAAAAAATCACCAAACAATCGAAACAGATGGAAGATGAAGCTGGTGTTCCCTGCACCCCCGGACTTTGGCCTTTGAATGAACCGGGGGTGGGGGCTGTAGGGGTTTCCATCAGAGGGTTGTCGGGTACCTGGACCGCTCTCAGCCCCAAGGGCTTGGCAGGAGCCACCGTAATCGTTCTCAAAAACCACACTATAAAAGTGTGGAGTCCTTCCCGGCCGGTGGGCACAGGTGGCCGGCAGGATATCCCACAGGAAGTAGGTCTGAGAGCGGCTGTGGAAAGGGAGCTGCCCCAGGACCCAGGAGGGCCGGCCGGTGGCGCATTCTGCCTGTTCGTAGAGCGAAAGAATGAGAAGGGCAGGGCCCAGCCCAGCAGGGTCTAGTGGGCGGAGACGACAGATCACAGGAAAGAAAATCACAGGACACAGAGATAAGAAGAACTCAGCTGGGCCCAGGGAACTGCGACTGCCAAGGTGCGGAAGTGACCCCAAATGCCTGGGCATGCTGATATTTATTGTTTACAAGGCGGGGAGCAGGGTCAGGAGAGTGACCCATCTGACGTGATGGATAGAGTCAAACAAATCACGTGCTTACAGTACAGGGGCCCCTCCCTTTCAGGTAGCCGCCGCAAGGGAGAGAGGCACATCTTTCTACAGACTCATCAGAAAGATCAAAGGCTTCCCCTGCTCTTACTTCTCACAACTTCTAAGAACTTAAACAGAGAGCCAGGTGGGAAAGTGGAACCTGAAAGTGGATGAGGGTGGTGACCATCGGAGCACAGCATCGCAGAGAGGCATTTAAGCCCCTGGATGTCTGTGGGCCAACCTGGCTAAAGTCGGGCCTTCCTCAAGAGCCAGGCAGAGCAGTGTTCTCTGAATTCCCCCAGTGAAAGGGAAATTCCCCTTCACGGCCTGCTAAGTAACGGGCACCTTCCCAGGGGCCGGCATGACCTCAGGGCCTGCCTGCTGAGTAGCGGGCGCCTCCCCGGGCACTGGCATTACCTCAGGGCCTGCCTGCCGAGTAGCGGGCGCCT